AGTCAAATGAAAGGAAAATATTTTGAACTTCACTTTTACAGAAGTATTTCTCTGAAATGCACTTAAACATAAATAATTGTGCATTTCAACATAAACACCAACAAGTTACAAAAAGAAAGATGGGAAGGTATAAATTCCTTAAAAGAAGATAGTAAACAAACCCTCAATATTATAGCTAGCTTTTTGTTATCAGATATTTCAACTTTGATTTTTGTTAATTTTTAGATTTGTGAGATCTTGTTTTAAATACACAGGACTAGTGAGTATAGCTCAAATTGAAGAAAGCATCCTGTGTGTGTACTTTATTTCTACCTTTTTTTTCCTTTGCCTAAACACACCAGTTTCTGAAGTGGTGCAGTGCTTACAGTAATACAGCTTTAGAGTGGTGGTGGTTGTTTTGCTTAGGGGTGTTTGGAGTGTGTTGAAACAGACTCGTGTGATGCTGTCAGGGATTTTAGTTTTGCAGAACTCTTTCAAGGAAGACTGAACCATTGGCTCAGTTGGTCAGAGCATGGTGCTCATAATGCCAAGGTTGAGGCATTCATTAATCCCATATGGGCCATGAGCTCAATGATCCTTACGTGTCCCTTGCAACCCAGAATATTCTGTGACTCCCACTGCTTCATGTAAAAGCACAAATTCTAATGGTTTATAGTAAGCTTTTTGCAAAACACTGAGAGGACAGATAATTAGAACTGTGTTCTGCCCTTGTATCTTTCAGTACTTTTCTGGAGGCATGCATAAAATTTTAGATGGAAAAAGAGCTTCAAGATCATTGAGTCTAACCTCTAACCCAGCACTTCTAAGTCCAGTATTAAACCATGTCCCCAGGTGCCACATTAACATGACTTAAATTCCTCCAGGCATGGTGACTCCACCGCTTTCCTGGTCAGTCTGTCCAACACCTGGCAGCCCTTTTGGTGAAGACATTTTCCTAATATCCAGTCTCAACTCCCTTGGTGCCACGTGAGGCCATTTTCTCAAGACCTCTTTTTAGGGAGTTGTAGAGTGTGAGAACGTCCCCTCTGAGCCTCCTTTTTTCCCGACTAAATCCCCCCAGCCCCCTCAGCTCATCCTCATCAGATTTGTGCTCCAGACCCTGCCCCAGCTCCATTCCTTCCTGTGGAGCCTCTCCAGTACCTCCAAGTCTTTCTTGTGTCATTTTGCAGTATCACCTGTGGGTTTTAGGAAGGCTCAGTGTGCTCTTTGTAAGGGGTCTGTAGATACCTGTGTCAGGATCTCTCGCTTGAGATCCCTTTGGCTTGGAGCAGACAAAAGATGACAAAACAGCTCAAAAGCAGAAAGATCTCAAAACACTGACAATATAATTAATATTATAAGCATAGCATTGTGTTTGAATGAGCATATATGAATGTACATGAACTAGGACCATACAAAACAATCAGTTTCTTGAGAACAGCTGGTGAATTTAATACCACCTATAGGGTGTGTGTTCAGAAATAAAACTGAACTTCATTAAAATAATGTCTAATTTGGATAAATTGAGTGCCTTTCAGGATGATGTTACTGGCAGGCAACACATGAAATCTATCAAACAAAATCTCCCATATGAAATCAGGGAGAGGAAAAGAAGGCTGGATGTTACTGAGAGGCTTTGGCATAGAGTTGAGATGGATATTGTTCTCTGGATATTTGCAAATAACTGTTTCTGTTGAACAACAGCTTTAAACGTTTTCAGTTTCTTATTTTTAAACTGTAAGCCACAGGCTATGTGCATTGAAGTGGGGTATATTAATTCAGTGCTTTTTTGCTTTTTGTATTTCCTCAGCTGTAATTGGCTTGTAGAATAGCTGTCATAGGGAATATTAGACAAATTTTGCAGGTGGTCAGTAACTACTGGGTTTGGTAGTAGACTTCTTATTTTCCCAAAGGTTTAAAATATGAGAGATAGAGATTGAACACACTGTTGGTAAAAACAAATTATACAGTTGTAACCAATTTCAGAAAGGAAATCATCAAACCAAGTCTGTGTGTGGTTGGTTCTTTTAGTTGGCTCAAAAACATTTTGAAAGTAATTAATGAAAGATATTCATTAGATTTCTCAATATGTTCTCAATTGCAATATGTGCTCTTACAGTTAGTTTTCAAAATGTCATTCAAGCTTTCCCCTCATTGTATTTAACATAAAAAATATAATTTCTGCTCAGCTAAACAGGGCTGGGGTTGTCTGGTGACACAACTCACCAGAGTGTGTGTTTCAGTTTTGGGATGCCCCCACTGCCCATTTTTAACTGACAGAATTTTGAGGCATTCCCAGAGGTGTTCACAGGAGCATATCCTCAGGAACTTGAGCAATAATTTTTTTCTATTTTTGGTTTCTTTTGGCTCAATAGTTATTTCAGTGTTAAATATTGAAGAACGCCTATCCATTTTAGAACATAACAAGAAGAAATTAATGAATCAATGTAGAGCTCTTGTTCTCTGTAATCCCTGGAGCTCTGATTAAGGTGATCTTTGTGATGCCTAATAATTATTACTATTACTCTATTAGCTATTCAAATCGGTGTTTCAGGTTGTTTCAGATAGGAAAACCACTGATATTGTAAAGAATAACATAGTTATTTATCTAATCATTTACAAAAGGTACAAATTCTGTTTCCCTTAACACAGGAGAGGCAGCAGGGAACACTTTCTTTGCTTGTAACTGAGTTTCTTTTCAGCCTGAACCTGACTCCAAAAATTAGTTCTCTGGAGCCTTTTCTCAGGGTAGCAGCATGTAGGATGTTTCTGTCACCTCTTTTTACCAAGTGTATGGATAATTGCCTCCACCTTAGCTAGGTCTGTCTGCCTGGAGCTTTTGGATTTTGATCCAAGATGTAGCTTGATTGTCTCGTTTTCTCTGGAAGCCAGATTTTTTTTTCCCCCTCAATGTATTTTTGTTGTCACAATCTTGTTTTCCTGCAGTAATCATGTCCTAATTCTTATTTGTAAGTATACCAGCAGTATTGAGCTGATGGTTGAAAAATATTTTATATGACTTGGTAGATTTCTGACTAATGTCCAGAAAAGATTGTGCATCAATAAATAGTCTGATGGGTCAATAGAACTTTGTCAAAACCTTCTCAGTCTTTACTCAAAAGGCGTATTAGAGACAAGGCTTTAATTCACTTAGGAATGAGATTCTCAGACTGAGTGATAGGACCTTACTAAAGGGCTGGAGGAGTCACTGTTTCCACTGTCTGATGCCCATTTGTCATGAAGGACTCTCACTGTCAATTTGTTTTGTACTCTGACTCTTCAGCCACATTGGAATTTGGTACTTGCCAGGCTTGTCTGGAGTGCCCTTTGTTGAAAAGCAGGTACTTTAGGATAGTTTTACTGGTTTAATGCAATTCATTGTGTTGGCAACATCTGTTTTGGGTTTAGACTACAGAGGAAAAATACCAGAATGACTTATTCATATTATATATTTCATAGTGATAAAACTCCATACCCTAATTTTGTAAACATGTTTTACTTTTTTTTCTGTCTTGTGTGAATCTATATGAAGGGTGTGCTATAGAAAGTGTCATTTTTAGGTTTTCAGAACAACCAGTTTCCTGGTCCTGGACTAGGAGAAGAACCCTGGTGCAGTAAGAGAGAGAGAGAGAGGGGTTACAATGGGTTGTTTGCTGTGAGTTCTCATGGAACAGGCTTGCCATCATTGCATTGGTACATACTTTCTTTGGAGGCAGCTGATTTGGGAGAGTTCCTTCCTCCCATGGCAGGGATGGAGAAGGACTCTCCATGAAGTTACCCAGATGAGTAACTTCAGCTCACTGTGGTCACTCTCTTTGGGTTATTTCTTCAAGCTGATGTGATAGAAAAGCACAACTGCCTTGGTACCAGGGTCTGATGTGCTTTAACCTTTTTACAGGACAAGAGGAAGCAAATAAAGGTGAGCATGGAGAGGATTTCACAGGTGGAACTGAAGTGGATGTTTTATTAGCATCTTCTGTTGTTTATTTGGGTTTCTGGGACTCTCACAAGTCATTTTCTTGTCAAGAAAGCAGTCCAGCTTTAAAAGACTGAGTTACTAATAGTGTCAATGTAGTGTTTTGTCTGTGAACATTTTATATCTAGTACTATTAGGAAGAAATTCTTCCCTGTGAGAGTGGTGTGGAACTGGCACAGGCTGTCCAGAGAAGCTGTAGCTGCCCCAGCTCAGGAAGTGTTCACAGTGAGGTTGGATGGGGCTGGAGCAACATGGCTTGGTGGAAGTTGTCCCTGCCTGTAGCACAGGGGTTGGAACAAGATCTTTTAGGCTCCTTCCAAACCCAAACTAGTCTGTGATTTCTTCTCCTATTCTAACTGGAAGAAAAGTCCCACTAATGAATTAGACACTGAAGAGAGAGGCTCTTGAGGCTGGGAGTGGGATGGCAGGAGGGACAGAGAAGGAATATATGGAGAGTTACTGTTAGAATCTGTTAGCTGTTGGAAGGGCCAGCAGGAAGCATTTGTGCATGTTTTTCCTTATCTGTGTGTGTAGTAGTGGAAGAAAAGGATTCCCTGCCTGGGTGTGCTCTGACTCTGTTCACAGGGGGCTTCTGTGGAAATTCCTGTTTAGCCACACAGCGAGTGAACAAACCATGCAGAATCTCTCGTGGGAGGGATACTTGGTATGTGCTTACTGAGGGTCATGGACAAGGACTGAGTTTTGTGCTTGCACATCTGAAAGGCTGTTTTCTCATATATGATTCTGCTTGCAGTTAAGGTGTGTGGGTTGTCTTGGAAATTCATGCTAAAATCTGATGTGTAATAAAATGCAGTTACAGTGGGCTGAATAGTCTCAAGTAGAGCAAAGGTGTAATGGCAGCTTTTTTTTTTTTTTACCTAGGATTTCTAGCATACTTGAAAGTGTAAATATAAGCTTGTTCCTCTTGATAAACACTTGAAAAGAAGTAGAAATTCCAGTAAATGCATATATGAATTACAGAATTTTTCTCGAGTGGCACTGTTATTACTTTATCGTATTTACATTTTCACCTCTTTTTTTATAGGCAATTGCTGGTTACTTTGACGTATTTTTTGAGAAGAACTGCCACAACAAGGTGAGTATTTGGGGTTTTGCATTTTAAAAATGTCTTTGAGAGATGAGGATTTTATTTTGTGTCAAGGTGTTTGGCAGTGAGTCTATTTTGCTGTAGCAAAGACTTCATATGCATTTGTTTGGTAATTGATTGATGTGGTGTGATATGAAAAAGATGATTTTTAATCAAACTCTTGAACTCTCCCATTGCAGGTCTTGTTTTCAACTGGTCCCCAGTGTACCAAAACACACTGGAAGCAGACAGTTTTTCTCCTGGAGAAGCCAATTCCTGTAGAAGCAGGTATATTTAAATTCAGTTGGGGTGCAACAATGGTTGTGTTACAGTGCTGTTACCATTAAATCTAGATATAAAATACTTCAAAAATTACATCAATGTCAAAAAGAACTAGTAAATAAATCTTCCAGCTGCTGTTGAAGGAATTTTTTTGTCTCATCAAACCAGAGAAGTATTTGTGTACAAAATTCTGGTTTAAAATTGCACATAAATGTATGCATAAGTATCTTGTAAGTGGGCATGTATCTTACACTTGTATAGCTGCATACAGGAATTTTGGTGAGAAAAGTTCTGTATCAAAGCATTTCTGATGCAGAAAGTTTTAAGAACCAGAAAACCACTATTGAGATTCTCCTAATTTTGACATTACTGATATTCTGAAGTACTAAATTTGTCAGGTGATTGCACAGGATTCCTTGTCGCCCTCCTGAACTGTCCTGTATTTAAAGGGATCGTGAATATACGCATAGGTTGTATCTACCACAGTGGGGTTACTCTGTAAAATGAAAAGAGTTTATAGAACTCACAGCCATGAAGCTGAAGTATTGAAAGAGGTTTGCTTGATACACTGTAAATTTTTATAAAATGGTTAAGTACCGTAATAAGTTTCACCTTGAATTTGATGCAGGTAGAAGGGTTTTCATTGTCATCAGGGATAAGCACATTTCAGATGATAAACTGTTGAGGTGAGGCTTTGAAGACTATCAAGTGATGCTTGTTAGTGGTTTAATTAGTTCTATTCTTGAAGTCTTGGAAGCACATTTTGTACAAGTAGTCAAATATTCCTTTATAGACACAAGTATATCCATGACCCTGATGGAATGGTCATGTGAGAGGATGAGCATGCAACAGATGAACAGGTCTTAACCTCTTACTCCTGTAGAACTTTCTTTCAGACTCTCACAGACTCTTTACAGTCCAAGGAAATGAAGCAGTTACATTTTTATTTATGTTATTTTATTTGTGTTCATTTGGCCACCAGATTTTTACTCCCCACTGTTGAACTCTGACCCAGGGATGAATCAGTTGTCTTTGAGAGCCCCTTTTCTTTACAGACTAGCAGGACCAAAGGAGGAGCCTCAGAATGGGGCTCATTTCTGCTGGGCAGTTAATAAACTCATGGTTAATGTGTGGCCCTGACCTGAGCAGTTTGTAAAAGATCAGGCATACTGGGGGAAAAGCATAGAAAAAGTTGTGTGGATGCTTCTGCACTCAGTTGAACTGCTTTTACAGTTGCCTCTTCCAGCTACCAGGCACGACAACCTTTTACCAGGAGCTTCTTTCCTAGAGGCACTGAGGTTTGTGATATCTGACAAATCACTTCTGTCTTTCATGCTTTGACTTTTTATTCTTAAAAAAATTTTATTTGCAGTTTCTGAAGCCCTGTCACTTCTTCGGGTGCACCTGTGCTTTGGTGCATTCGTACTTGGCTTGCGTTCTCTTCGGATTCTCTTTCTAGACAAGGCTGACTAAGATCTCCTTGCTGCTACTCATTAAATCTCAATGTCATAGAGCGAATTTTTAAAAAGTGCAATGACATTTATTAAAATAAGCACATTATTTCATATTACAGAGATCATTTGACATTATTCAACTGTGTGAAATTACTGGGAGGTGTGCCTCAGCCCGGAGTTCTGGTCTAGGTGTGGTGACTTTCTGAAGGCAGCTGCAGAAGCAGTGTGCTCTGGTTGTATGAGCACAACCAACTTGACCTTCAAGATTACTTGTGCTGTAACTCCTTCCTTCCTTTTTATTAGCTCATATTTCTTAACATTATTCCCATAACAAATCTTGTTACAGCCATGTTTCTCTTTCTTTCTGCCTGTCTCCTCTTTGTAATTACTTGAGTTCCCCTTGCCCATTCTCTGTGGTTTTAATTCTTACATGAAATTACCACTTAAATCTAGGATTGTCTGCCTTTTGCTTCTAGTGATCAAGAAGTTTGAGAGAAACTCCTGATGTAATTTCCTTTCCTTTTGTAACCCCAGTCTTAATTTCTGTGGGATATTTGTTGGTCATTGATGACATAAGCTCATCAAGCAGAAGGTGCTTCCTGATACTTGTATAGGAATGTATGTTAATTTACATTATTTTTCTGGAAAAACTATTCCCTCTCTTGGTCTCTTGACTTTGATCCTTCTCCTTCATTGTTCTAAAAATCTTTCTCCTCAAGACATGTTGTTATAAGTACAGATTTCCCTATCTTCCTTTTTAATATTCTTCTCTTTGTCTAAATAGTGACTTGAATATTCATCTTGATAATTTGTGGTTTGCCAAATTTTTTTGTTTCTTCAGTCTTACCATTTTCTCAACTAAACAAACTCCTCAAGCTCATTTTGCAGTGTATTTCAATGTGCACTTCCAGCTGTTTCTCTTGTCCCACTTGTTAATGAATTAGCACTTCTTGTTGCCACTTCTCATTCAGCCTGGCGTGTTGAACCACTCCACTCTGAGTGCGCTGAGCTTTTGGGGAAGCCTTGTCTTCAGAAGGGCTTTCCTCAATACAAGTGAACTGGAGGCAAAAGTAACTGTATTAAACATATTTACATCTTTTGAAGCCTTTCCATCAATCCCTGTGTTTACTGGTATTCATCAGGCCTCTGTATAAATTCTTACATTCAGAAATACATTATGGCAATTGGAGAAACATCAAAAAAGATGCACTTTTGACTAAATATATTTATAGAATCATTAAGGTTGGAAAAGACCTTTAGGATCATTGAGTCAAGTCATCAACCCAGCACTTCCAAGGACACCACTAAACCATGTCACTGGGTGACACATCTACAGTTCCCTGGGCAGCTGTTCCAGTACTTCACAGCCCTTTCCATGAGGAAGTTTTTCCTAATGTCCAATCTAAACCTCCCCTGGTGCAACGTGAGACCGTTTCCTCTTGTCCTGTTGCTCATTACCTGGGAGAAGACCAGCTCCCAGCTGTCTACAAGCTCCTTGCAGGGAACTGTAGAGAGCCAGGAGGCTGTAGAGAGCCCTGAGCCCTCTTTTCTTTAGGTTGGGCCCCTCCAAGCTCCCTCAGCCACTTCTCATCAGACTTGTGCTCCAGAGCCTGCTCCAGCTCAGTTCTCTTCTCTGGACACACTCCAGCACCTCCAAGTCTTTCTTCTAGTGAGGAGCCAAAAACTGACCCCAGGATTCAAGGTGGGTAATGCTTCAGCAGTGCCCAGAACAGATCACTGCCCTGGTCCTGCTGGCCACACTACTGCAGATCCAAGCCACAATGCCGTTGGTCAAGAGAAACTCTTTTTTCTAGTATTGGAAAATAAACAGAAATAATTCATTTTGAGTCTTAAAATAATCTGACCAGTGTTACGATTTGCTTGTAGCTTTTTAATAGGTTGTGAAAGAAGAATTTGCTAGTGGAAAACACATTTAAAATGTTTTCTTGTTTTGAAAGCAGTGGCTGTTTTTCCTCAGTGAAGAAAAATGGTTCCCTCAGATTTTTTGTTCTGAGTAAAATAATAAGGCTGACTAAAAGTCCCTTATCAGATGCTTTATAGCTTTTGGGGCCATGTCTGGAGTGGTTATAAAGCACTGATTGTATTTGATTTTGCTCTGTAAAAGAGGTTGAGTTTTCAGATATCCAAACCTGCTGGGTATTTAACTGGAAAATGCTCCTTTATGCCATGGGAAAATTGTTTTGTTCTGCAGTGTGAACTAGCTAATTTTCTCAGCTGTTTGATGCCATGGTATTTGTTGTAAAAATAGATCTATTTTCTCAGCCATAAAAAGGACTGAATGTTTTGATCTATTCTAATGATAGCAGAATCAAGCAGTTGCAAGCCAAAGGATGGGTCTTGGAGCTCATCCTCCCTCCTTTGCAGATCCTGCTGCAGCCTGCACTCCATGTACCATGTTTGTACATCTCTGGGATGAAATGGGAGAGATTAATTTTGGGTCCAAAGGTCTGGGCAGTGAGACAATAAAATCTACACCTAATTAATACTGATTATTTGCTGCTGAGTTTCAGCTTGATACCTGTGGTAGGTAGCTTTGTATGTAATGGATGTATGCAAATTTATATATTTAATGGCCAATTTCTGTTCACTTCATTTAGATATAATGTGTGAGTGGGGGATAGCTTCTTACTACTCATGTGTTCTGAAAAACCAGTTTTCTTCCTCATGGGCTGTGACAAGAGTCTTGAAACTGATTTTCAGTCAAGTGTCAGCATGTTGGATATGCTTTAACTGTTTAGCAAGCAATTAAAGAAACTGGAGAAAGAAGCAATATATCCTGAGTTTTCTCAGACAAAACAGTGATGTATTGTAGACTCCCTACAGAGTACAAACCTTCTCTTAGAGCCCTTTTAATAGCTTGAACATGTCTTTATTTTGAAGATTGAAATTGAGATGCCAAAGCATTATCTTTTTCTCCTTAGTGGTCCAAAAATGAGTCGCTTCCTTTTGTTGTTGTTGAAATATTCCTGCTAAGCAAACAAAAAATTACATCATTCTCATTTGGTCATCTCAAGAATTTACTAAATAATCTCAAGAATTTACTAAATAAATCAAATGCTTACAAAAATTATTTTAAAGGGCCCACAGAATCTTTTCAGTAACGATGCATTAAGTTAAAACCCAGCTCTGTACGCAGGCAAATTCTATTAGCAATAAAACAGCCTATTGTCAACGTTGTGTGCTCTTGATATTGCCTTGCAGTGAAAATAAAACCTTGATTTGTTTTTCTATGGTATTAAAGGGGCTAGCACAGCAAAGCTGGAGCAAAACTCACATGACTAAGCTCTTGTAAAATCCTTGATTATCTTTAGCTCCCTAGTCTCTGTAATTGGAAAGCTGTTTGTAAATTTACAAACTGAAATAATGTTGATTTGTCTACTTAGACAGCACTATTAAAAGTAGGAAAACAACGCTGGCACGATTAATCTGTCTGAATGTTTTGATGCTATACTGAAATACTTCAATATTGTGCATCCCAGTTGGATAATTTGGCTCCTAATTAAGATTTTAATGTCTGTTTTGCCTGTCTACAGCTGCAACATAGTGTCTATAGAAATCTGTTTTGTTTATTTACAAGTGGCACCTCCAAAAATGATGCTGGCTTTTAAAATGTAGTAAACGTTAAAACCTGAATTTTGAGGTCACACTAAGTCTGGCAAGTCTTAATGTTGTATTTATCAAAATCTCCATTTTAACATGATCATGCTGACTTTTCAGGAACAGTTTTAGGTGTGTGTTTCAGGGCACTAAACTGAGAGTCTCTTCTCACGGCTGTTCTGTCTCACTGAAATATAATACAAATCCATATTTAGACAGGAAAGCTTGGATGGACTGCTGACACAGATGTGCTATTCTGGATGCCTCCTTTTGCAAGTTCTTTAGCTGCAAGGGAATATGGTTCAAACAGCAACAACAGGCTGGTTTTCTCAGAATTTTGTCACACTGCTGAGAGAAAGCTTGGGACAAGGCTATACAGTTTAGAATCTCCACTACAACAAGCGGTGAATTAAGCTAGTTCTAGGTGAGTGAGTTTGGCCACTGCAGCTCTCCATTGTGGAGGAGCTGGCTTTCATCATTCCCTGTGGCAGCTCCTTGTGGTGCCTGAGCTGTCTGGGAATCTGTAGTGCACACACGTTACCTTAAACACCCACACAAGCCTGGTTTTCCTCACTCAGCTGGCAAGGCAGACTTTTCTTTGTAGCAGCCTCGTTCCTGGGTTGTCTTGAGCAGTTGAAAAGTGTCAATTTGGTATAAAAAGACCTCAGAGAATATACTCAGAGCATGCATGGAGAAGACAGACCCTCAGGATAGTTTCAGCAGAGGGTGAACAGCAGTCCAACAGAAGGAGATGGCAAACAGTTGATTGGAGTAGCCAGCCCAGAAGAAGGGTGTCACAGGTCAGTGGATGATACCAAAAGGCAGTGGCTGCTGTTCAGAACAGAAACCGCTTGTTGGATCATACTGATCTGGAGATTCAGTAGGAGAAGTGGTCAGAGGGGAAGGTGGCAGTCTGTGCACAGCTGCAGGTGCCTGCAGTTTAAGAGGATGAATGGGAAGATTAAGGATAAGTTCCTGAGTTTAAGGGAAATGCTCTTGGTCCCACCACAAACTGTTTCAGTCTTTCCTTGTTTTCCATTGTCAGAAGATAGGTGGTATATAGAAACCATTGTCTACCCAGAGTAATGCTTTTGATACTTCCTGGTTTTTCTGTTGCAAGCTAGAAGTCAGCATTGCATTAGATAATGGGTGCAGTTATTTAAACTAGATCATGTTTAAATTGTCAGCTTCCAGCAAGGACAACCTTGCTGTGCAGTGTGGTATCAAATTGTGCTGGTTTGTGATTGGGAAGGCACTAACCCCCCCAGTGGCTCTTTATAGTGTAGGGGATTTTAGAGGTACTTTTCACCAGCAGTGCAGTAGTTTAAGTGCGTTTAGCCCAAAGCCCACTGCAGTTTTCTAGCAGCTCTCTGAAACAGTTCAAGTGAGCTCTTTCATAAGATTCTTAGATTTTAATGGTGTTCAGAATAAATACTGGTTTGAGTCCTGTGTTCTTACTTGGCCCACTGTTAGCTTCATAAAACTCTTCCAAGGAAAATGAAGAAGGAAACCTGAAAGACCCTGATTGCTGGTTGCCTTTGGTAACTCTTTTGAGTCTTTTTTGGGATCAGAGAGGGAGGAGCCGCCAAGTTGTGTTGAAAGACAGGGTAGTTCTTCACATTACAAGCTCATTGCCATGGGTCAGTCCAAGCTTTAAGTGGATGTTATGGCTATGCAAGCAAGGGACTGTGTAGAATCTTTGGTTTTGATCAAATCTTTTATGGACTGAACAAACATGGTTTGTTGGGCCTGAACACTCTTGATGATGGAGGATCTCTGCGCTGAGAGATACCTTGGCTCACAGACTGCAGGCTGGCCCTGTGTGGGATTGTATGGCACAGACATAAGTGACAGATGCAATTGCTTACAGTTTTACTGGTGGTAAAAGTCAGAATCAAAAGAAACTGGTTCAAGTGTCAGAGCACCAGTACTGCAGAGCCTGCAATCAGACATGCAGGGAGTCAGGATGGACATAGGGATGTCTTTTTTCTTGTACTAGCCAAGCTTACACAGCACTTCTCCTGAATTCTTCTGCTTTTTCCGTTTGGGGGAAAATTTCAAGCCTCCCTGGGGATAATAAAAATGCAGGGAGGGGATGGTAATGGATTCAGTTTTGTCCTAATCAAACTGCAGTGGCACTGTGTGGTTTGCTTGCATTCAGCTGAACGTGATAAGAGCAAGGTGATGCAGCTGAGTCCCAGAGACAGCTTCCTTCAGGCAGCTCCTAGGACAGAGAATGGGGGAAAACATCCGTCATTTTCTATCTACATGACATTGATTAATTGTTCAGAATTGCCTTTCAGTTACTGCTGTTGTTCGCTTCAGCCCTCGGAAAACGCTGCTCAGAAAAGCACGTTTAATGTGGCTGCAGCATGAGGAATAGCTGGGGAAAATGAATGGATTGCTTTGTTTCATTAACTGTCTTTACAAACAGAATCTGAAGGTTCTGTTCTCTGAAGTCAGCTATTTATGAAATTATATTTAAGTTTTTGCTTCATTTTTATTGCTTTGTATTAATGTTCTAAATGGAAAGATTGAAGTGTGGATTAATTGAAATCATGGAATTTTAGCTTACTGAGGCTCTTTAGTCTTACTGAATTGTAATCGCAGCATGTTAAAATAAACCAAATAGGTAATTTTGTGGCAGGTTTGAAAATCTGTGTGTTCAAATCAGGTTAAATTTCCTAGCTGGAGTGAGACTGTAATGCCTTTTTTCTTTATCTTGTCCTTCTCTCCGGCAAACCTTTCTGTGTTTAAATATTCTGTGAAACCATTTTCACAATTCTCTGGGAGTTTCATTGTGTTATGTCAGTAATTTGGTTCCCAATAACAAAGCTGCACAGGAGCTGTAGTAGAATCTCCAGCTAACTGTTACATGATGAAAAAAACGCCAAAATGGTAAAAAAAATATTTTTCTTCTGATCCTTGGTACTACAGTTATTCTTGTAGATAAGCCTTATTTGATATTTATACTGCAACCTTTAACAAAATGCCTTGCAATTATAATTTATAACTTGGACTTTCTGTCAGTTTACTGTTTGTGGATGCAACTGAGAATTGTGCCAAATGGAGACCTCCAAATGCTTCCTGAATTTGAAATCAGCTTAGTTTTGAAGTTGGTATTTGTTTTTTTTTTGTTTGTTTTTTTTTTTTTCTTTGCAATAAGAAAGCTTTTTAACAGGATATTAACAGTGGCTTTTAAAATCACAGTGAGTAATGAGCAGCTGGAAAATACCTTGGATCCAGTGAGATAGAAAAGCAGCACCAGTGGATGTTGCTGATGTGAGCGATGAAGGTGAATGAGGCAAGGGAGGTCTGATGGAAGAGTAGCAGGGAACTTCCTGCAGTAGATTGGGATCATGGCCTGCTGTAATGTGCTCTGCAGAATCCTCTGTGAGGATGTGGACTTCCTAAATGTACACATTTACAAATGTATGTGTTTATATTTTGTGGGTTGCATATTCCTAATTTACAAATATTCCTTAAATCAAAGGTCTTAGTAAGGACTGAAAAGAAATTGAGATTAGGTTTTTTCCTTCTGTGTAAAAGCATTTGCTCTGGGTGTAACTGGAGGACATACCTATCAACTGGTATGACACTGACACTTTGTAAAACAAAACCTGCAATTAATAATATATATACTTGAAATGCCAGAGATTTCTGTGGTAGTTTCCTGTCAGATTAAAAAAAATACCTGGTCAGAATATAAATGAAATGCAATGCAAATACAGAGCACATGGCCCATACAGCAGAGAGGGAATATGCTTTAGTGACTTCATGTCTGTAGTCCAAGATGGTGAATATATCCAAGGGGTACAGTGGTTTTCCCCAGGCTCTTCTCCAGGTTTAACTGCAGTTAAGTTTGACTTACGTTTGTTGTCAAGAGCTTTGAAAACTTGAACTTCTGTAAAATTTTAAAATTCTCTTTTATTTGGAATGGCTTCACGTGCAACATGGATGCAATGCATCTTTGCTGTTACTGTGAGTGATTCAATACTGTAACCAGAGCGATTCCTTCTTGTTTTTTCAGGAGAGGCCCTGAGAGGAAAGATCACAGTCCGCAAAAACAGAAAGGATCCGCGGTCCCTCTTCATCACCCTCTCGGTGAAGGACACCCAGCAGACATACAGCCTTCAGTGAAACTCTGTCCATGGCTGGGAGGGGCTTCATCCAAATGCTGCATTTGACTGCTGATAGCTGTTCTGGAATATCCAAAAATAGCAAACTCTTGGGTTTATGTGTGTGTGCGCACACAAGAATATGGAAAAGTGTCCTAGAGCTGAGATTTACAACAAAATCAGATCCTGCTGCTTCACGTGGTGTGAGGAAAGCAAGAAAGATTGGTTTGGGTTACCTGAGACTTGCTAGGTGAGAAAAAATGAGCCTGAAATCTTCCTGTAAGGAACAATAAATATGATCTCTCAATAATGTTTTATTTTTCCACTGGCAGAATCCTTGTATAGTATTTTTTTGTGAAAGAAGCAGCTTAGTCATGTGTCAGTGCACCTCAACAGTAGCTGGAAAATCCCAATGGGAATAATTTTTGAATTCCAGCTGCAAGATTGTGGCAACAAAGACAGTATTTTTACTACACTTCTGCAGTTTAAAAGTTGTACACATTTCAGTTACATTTGTCTAAATAAATGACCCCAGTGTGATATATAATGCAGTTGCTGCTTTCCTTGTTTCTGTGTAATTGGAAATTCTGTCTATCCTGTGATGGCTCATTTATTTGTGCCTACTGTTTTTTCTCTACTAACCTGTGGGGGTGTAGGTGGATGGAAGTGTGTGTCTTAGCAGCTTTAGGAAAAACACAGCAAACAAAAAGCAGTTGCTGGAAGGGTGGGTATGGTTTGGCTTCTTACAGAAACACTGGACACTCAAGGGTTGACTGTTCAAGGGAGGGGAGTGTGCATGTAGGTGTTCATTTTAATTCCCTTTAGGTTCCCTAAATGTCCTGATTAGCATATGGATGTTCAAGAGCTCAGCTCACATAAAAGGAATGCTCAGGTACGGATTTTAGATCCCACAGTTTATGCAAATGAGACTGCACACAGTTCTTAAATTCTGTCTCTTTTCAGAATAGGCTTTGGTATAAAAAACTTCATTAAAAATGAGACAATTGCACACACAGAAAAAGTCAAAGCTGTAAGTTTTATTTCACAGTAGTATCTGAGAAGTGGGAATGCTCTGCAGTGATAAACATGTGTGAGTCTCTGTGAGCTGCTAACACTTGTCTAGCTTGGTGACATATCCTTTTTGGTCTTGTTCAAGGCCCCTCCAATCTGAATTTTTTTATACTTCTGCAGATTCTGTGTTTGTGTAAATGTTTCTGTAGAAGGCAAGAAGAGAAGAAGAATGCAGAGGGAGAGCAGTGCAAAGCCCAGTAGAGAGTTTGTGTAGCCTTGGGTTGCAGGGCTAAAAGTTAAAAGAAGCTTGAAAATGTGTAAATGCTATTTTTAAATAAATAAATAAACACATTAAACCCCCCAAAGACCAACTCTGCCAAGAACTGAGGATTTGGTATTATCTAGCCAGAAGGAAAATAGTCTGAAAAAATTTCCATTAATGTAAAGCCTGAGGAGGGTCATTTAATAACAGCACTGGATTTTCAAAGAACTTAAATATACAAGTGGCCATTGATCTAATGGTAACTGTCTTACAGCATCCTGTGGAAATAACCCATCAATTATAGGGGGCTTTTTTTCAGTCTAGCAGTTAAATAATATGAGATTAATCTGACAGCACAATGAGTTATTTACATTTCCTACTTGTAACTCTAAGAATTAAATATTGTAGGAAACAGGATCAATAAATACTCACTTAAAGAGATTCTAATGATAGAATCTGAGGCAGAAAAGTGGAAAGTAGCTATTTGGAGTAGAAATGGCCTTGGATTTGTCCAGTGAGAGATAATAATCAGTCATACAAATGTGATCCTTTATTCTACTGCACATGGTCAATGTGGCCAAAGATGCAAATAATCTGTAGCTGAATTAAAAACAAGTAAGTAAATAAATTAAAAAATAGTGTGGGGATGGCTGGTATTCTGCATAGTTCATGGAAACATTTCTTTTTCCAGGTGGTAGGAACAACTTGTTCATCGGTCATTGGTGTAAGCAGTAAGGGATGCAGATGCAGTAAGATAGATAAAGACAAAGGGTTGTTGTGGCAGGCACATTCTTCTCTCTCAAGATTTTTCATAGAGGTACACAGAGAGAAGAAAGAGAAAACAATTTCTATTTCTGCTCCTTGTTTTTTCCCCATGTGGAATGTGTTTGGAGAATTGCTTACCTGGTGTGAGTGCTTGGTTGGATTCTGGTGAGGATTGTTTGAGCTGATGGCCAATCCAACCCACCTGGGGTTGGACTCTCAAGAGTTGTGAGTTAGATATGGTAGTTAGAAAAAGTAGGTTTGCAGTTTTAGTATCTCCTTTAAATAGTATATTAATGTATTTTAGTATAGTTATAATAAAGAAATCATTCATCCTTCTGAACTGGAGTCAGACATTATCATTTCTTCCCACTGCATTTACAATAGATTGTCACAGGCTTTGAAATGTATGAATAAGTTGTTGTTGCTAATGGAGAACTGCCAAAGCACATTAAAAAATCTGATTGGGTCGGTGACATATATCTGGGAGGATATTAAAAAAAAATCCTATAAAGAAAATATAAATCCTAATTATTTCAGCTCAGTTGTCAGATGTGTGAAGAAACACAAGATGGAATTATGATACCTTCCCTAATGTGTAGTTTCATGCATAAACAAAGTCTTTGCTTTGACATCAGAAAATTAAGGACCCTTAATTCACTTTATAAATTCATTTTGTGAAACTTGCACTCAGCAAAGAGCAGATTAATACAGGGCTGTAAAGTCATGTCTGTTTTCCAAGAGGATACAATTTGCCTGACCCAAATTGCAGGTGGCAACTACAAATTTAATGGCAAAGTATCTTCATTTGCAAAACCATTTGCGTGGTAGGTATTAGCAGTGTCATGTAAGTTTGCATTTGGGAGTGGGTTTTGGGCATTCAGGGTTGTTTTATCTGGAAAATATGTTTTTGCCATACTTAGTTACGAAGTCCAGCACTTCTAAAGAACATTGCATGGACAGAAGTTTTTAATGTTTAATCCCTTAGTTAACCTTTTCTCAAGGAGTGTTCTTTACCAGTAGTTCTCAATCTCTATTCATGCTGAAGCAATTTGCTTGATACTTAGCCCAAAGTCAGAGGAGCTAAGATGGACCACGATTCATAAAAGTCCTTTTAATATTCAGATAAAACCTGCCAACCAAAAAGGTTGGCCTGCCTTCTACTTGCAAATTTGTGCCCAAAGTCTGTGTACTTGAAGATCAATAACCCACCTGCAAATTATATGGATGCTCACAGCTCTACTTCTTATTTAGATGTTAATGGTATGTTAGTTCTTGGGTTTTTCTTAATCATCTTGTCTTCTGGAGTGCTTTTATATGTTTTTTTAAGCTGTAAAATTATCTTGCTGCTTCTACCCATCAGAGAGCAGCTTAAGCAAGACTGACAAGCTTGGAAGCTTCTGGACCTTGGTTACTGAATGACTCTTCAGTGAGCACCATGCTGGGGTCCTCTTAATAGGATTTTTGTGTGTACACCTCAGTTTGACCTTCTAAGTCTGTCCTGTGGGGTGTGCTGTAATGAGACAGCTCCAGCTTCTGTGATCCAGAGAACAGCAAAGCCCCAATTTCAAATAAAGCCCTACAGAGGATTTGGAGAGCTGGTTTGGGAGATACAGCTCCGAACTAAAAATGCAGGCTGCTAGTGAGGTTTGAAGAGTTTTATTTCAAGGATGTTTCTCTGCTCTCTGTTTAATAGTGCCTGAAGTTCCCAGGAGTAATGACTCTTAGCATTTTCTGTCCCTGGCTGAAATTATCTGAAGGAAAAATTATAGAAGTGTGTCTTCCCCGAGGTTTGTGGAATGACACATCCTGGCTCTGGCTGGCTGGAAGAGGTGGGAGGGGGATTTGGGAGATCAAGGGTTGAAAGTGAAGGCTTGTGTGAAGACTAAAGTGCTGATTTTATTTTTAGAAACCAGGTTTTGAAGTACAATTTGCTACTGCTTTTACTGTGTGGATTAACTGCATAGTAACAGCTTTTAGGAGTTTTCAAAGGCAACCAAAAATAACGTCATGGGTATAGAACTGAATACACAAACTTTGAAAGTAATGGCACAGACATTTTACATTATTTTGTTTATCCAGGCATTGACAGATGTTAAAGCTAGAGAAGTAGTGACATCTAATTAAAAGACAAATACCTTACTACATGGAAAGGGAAATTAGAGAGAAAATCTGGCTTTTAATGTTATGAGCACTGCAGAGAAATATGCAGAAGGACTTACGTGGTTAAATAGGTGTAGAAAACATCCAGAATTGCTTTTATATAACTGGACAAAAACCTGAAGATGGTTCAGTCCTTCCAGTTTAGTAATAAAGTTTCAACACATACTGTTTGATACCATTTTTGACCTTACATTAAATTCATGAGTTGATAATTAACTTCACAGGGAAAAGTGGGATTGGTAAATTCTAATTTAATTATATTGTTAAGCAGCAAAGAGAGAAGGAGAAGCCTTCCTGCTGGTGAGGTACCGTGCACACAGGAATTATTAATAGGATATTTTAAAAGCTCATGCATTTTCAGCACCTGAATGTAATGTGTAAATGTCTGTTCCCTGGTGCCTACCAATTGGCTCATAGTTTTTACCTGCTTTGCTAATTCCCATATATCAAAATAGAAACAAACTTCATTTCTATCCCTTTCTGAATGGCTAGGGTGTTACTGGGTTTCTTTGGATTACTGGTGCCTTCAGATTCCAGAGATCTCTAAACTCCTCCATGGTAAATGAAAAGGCCTCACTCATCCCACAGAAAACCTCGACCATGAAACAATCAATTTCTGGATTTATAACATTCCTCTTGCTGTTCCTCTAACAATTAACCAAAGTAAAATAAAAGACTCTTAATGACAGTGATAACAAATTAAAGAGGAATAAAGCTTACTCAACATGTTAATTCTATTTTCCACTTGGGTACTACTCAAAACATCAGTGCAAATAGAGTGAGAGCAAATATGTCCCTTGGAAAGCAAACTGGCTGAAGTTAGCCTTTCACAAGTAAGAACTACTACCCAAACAAAATTACTCTCCTTAGATTCAACTGGCAGATGCCAAAATAATTCCCCTTCACATGGTGATTTGAGAGCCTTTTCAAATTATTTTGTTTTCTTCCAAGGAAAAATAAGTGAAATGGGATACCCATTTTTCAGGGTTTTTATTCTTACCTTTCTGGCCTCGTGATAGATGATCCCTTCCTATACAAAAGAAGGAGTGGATTTTTCCAAAGTGGCTAGCATTAACTGAGAGAAATCTCATCTGCACCCCATAGAAATGTGCACTGAGGAGCAAGGTGTGAGTGATTCAAAGTGCTTAGAGGATACCCACATCTGGGAAATCACCACTGGTGAAAACCCTTCTAGTGGATATAATGCCAGTGCTACTGGAATACAATCTGTGCCAGGTGTGCTCCTCTTGGGATCACTGCACCCGTCTTAACTGGTTTACTACTTGAGCAGGTGATATTCATAGACTAGAATTAAAAATCAACAAATAAACAAACAAAAATCTGTAAAA